GTAAGTCATAAGCGCCAATCTAATTTTATGTACCTATTTTATCCAATATATTATTACATATACGAAAAAGATATAAAAAAATAAAAATATTGCTTGCATTAATATTAATGTTTTATATATTTTATATAAAGTATTTAAAAATATTTAAGATTGTCAATAGACAATAACTGATAAATAATAGTGTACAGATATTATAAAAATAAATATAATTTTAATAAATTAGTTGATTTTTTTTTAACTCAATTTTTTTTTTTTTAACACGAAGCTTATTAAGTATTAACATTATGTTATAACAAAAAACTGCTCATACACTATTGTAATTAGATAATAAATATGTCGACTAAGGTTATATGTTTGAAGTTTTTAAACAATTTAATTATACCTATACATTGAATAACTACCATTTAGAATATAGTATACAGACATTGTTAATATATACAAAGTGTATCTATTATATTTATTTATTTATTATGGAAAACAAGATTTTGAAACTTATCAATACGATTTTTTTAAATCTCATTTGGTGCTTATATTTTCTACCAATTTAATGTAGTCTAGTCAGAATATAATTTTTTAATAATCAGCTTATTAGGTATCAAAAATAGTTGAACCAGATTTATAAATATGCCACTATGCTAAATTATAAGTTACACATTTTATTTAAAACTAAAACCGATCTAATTGTGGACACTCTCCAAATATCCAGGCATATGGGAGAGGAGTGCACTAGTAATTTAGACATTAGTAATGCTATTAGATATTTTTATATGAACAATATTACGAGTAATTTATGTTTTTTATGTATATAATAATTAAGTGCTCATTATTGTATGTTTAAATTTAATTTATGTAAATTTATTTTAAAGTCTTACTGAATAAAATAGATATTGTCTTTAACGTATATTTTTAATTTAATTTTTCAACAGCTACTGTCTTAGCACAATTAATCAATCCATCTTGAAAATGACTGAGCGTAATTAATGCCACAGTTAAATAAACAGGTAATCTTAAGCACAATTTTAACTTTTATGCGTTAGTAGTATTAAATGTAATACATTATTTTATCATTATAATTCTTCTTCTTTTGCGTACAGGCTTTCAGCAATTTTTAGTCACTCTGAGCGTAACACAAGACACAGTAAACACTATTCGATTTAAGCTCGCCGAAATGAAACATATATTTTATATGACCGCCTTCTTGTTTGCATTAAAATAATAATATTATGCTCTTCGAATCTCGTCAACGCCAGTTTGCTCTGCTGGGTTTTACGCTAAATCGTTTTTAAGCCATTATGGCTTACATACACGAATGATGCGTATATCGTGTCATGCCACTACTTCGAGTCTTGCGAGAACGGCTATAAAAAATTATACGTATTCGGAAAAATCGTTATTACAACAAATATCAAATGATATTACTAGTTTATTCAATTTTCGATTTAATCACAACACACTTTCGTAGTACTACATTGTTATTGCACGCGAACACGCTAACGTCCCTAACACCTAACCAATTGTGGTATGAGTACCCAATATAATATTATGTACATCAGATGAAAAAAGGAACAGTTTTAATCATTTTTCGAATATAAAGTGATTTTTTCTTACAACTTCAAAGTTGACAATAAGTATATCGTTAACTTTAATATAAAATTTGTACCCTATTTAATTTCGTATCAAAAATAAAGACAGAAATCTTAGTTGTAGATATCATCAACTTTATTTCTATACCTAGTATTAAGATAATAATATATAATATTCATATGGACTCAAAAACATTGAAACATAATGGAAAACGATGAAGCAAACGTAGCAGTCAGAAATATTATATTAACAATCTCAACAATAAAATATATTTATTTTAATCACTTTTCGACATACGCATACACATATAATTATTATTATACCTGCATTTAGAACTCAGTATAAACAATTTGAGTCTGTTTATCGCAGCGTGAAGCAAGTGTAGGAATATTTATAACTTATCTGATATTAGAGTGATTGCAAAATTCGTGATGAATGTTTATTTTGAAAGCAATACTGTTAAAAAATAATAATACTTTAAACACGTTTAAGACGTATCGAACGGTCTTTGACAAGTTACGATTGCCATACCATACCAAGGATTGGTACTCAAGAAGGAAACGAACGAGGGAATACTTTAAAGTATAAACAGGTATGTAAATACTGAAATACTGCATGAATATGAGGATATATTGAATCAAAAGAAAGATATAGTTCTTAATTGATTAAAATTTGAACACTTTAATTTCTCCCGAGGACATTGGAAACCTTAAGGGAAATACGGATCTTCTATTGTGCCTAACATTTAATACAAACAACTCTACCGACCACACTATTGTCCATTGTTCAAATTGCACTAAAGCTACAAATATTGTAAGCATCCCGGGCAACTTACACGAAGCAATTGGTCCATATTATCAGATAAAAAAATGATAATTTCCTATCATAAAGAAATCAAAACGTTAACTCAATTTAATTTAAATACAATGTTGTTATTAATGTTAACGAATAACTATAGTAGTTGATGGTATAAACAATACAATTTTAAAATTAAAACTATCAATAAACTGCAGTAGTTGTATGTTGAATTTAATTTGAATACAATTCTCTGAGTTGTAATTAAAGGTCAAAATTAATACGGCGTAAAGTGTTCCGAATAAAACCCAGTTTTATAATATATTCGGGATACCATTGCAATATTATATTTTTGTTATTATTATATACTCACTGAGGCAAGTGTTAATTTATTTGGTGCGATTTTTACTGACTTACACCCGCTGATCGCGCTCGCCGGTATACAGGCTACGTTCAAATGAAATCAACAAAAATACAACATTTGAAACGAAGGTGGGAGTAATTTTATGCAATGTTGTGCAAATATAACCCATAAATTATCTATATGAGGCAACAGATAATTGATTTTTAATTTATCTAGATGAAATAAATTGATAACACTTAAAATATTGATCTAGATAATACATAAGAGATGACCATGTTTGTCTAGATAAAAAAACAGATAACTAATGTTTAATACTGTGTATCTATGGATTGTAATAATATTTTTGTTGGACGTTTTTCTTCTTATACCTAAATTAAAAATTTTGCGTCAAAAGCGTATTTTCTAATGAAGAAAAAACTGAAGATATAGTTAAAAATATTGATCTATACGACAGTATCTAATCTACATTTTTTTTGAATTTAAGATTAAATGTGCGTATACTGTATCAAACATGTGTTACAAAATTGTGTGTATAATATACATATATTTAAATAATTAAGAACACATTATGTATTTTGGAAAGACTATCTATAATTATTTTTGAAGGAACATTAAAATACAATAGTTTTATGATGTTTATGGGAGTAATTTAAATAAAATGTTTTAAATAGTTATAAAAACATTTGGTATGATTTTATCCGCTGTTTCTATAAAAGAAACTGTGGGTCATGTTTTTTCCGTAATTTTTTAGAATATGTATTGTGTATATAAAACATAATACTATCAATACAAACACGATTAAGTGGCCGGGTGGGGAATAATACGTGTAGACGTTAACGCGTAAGTTGTTTAAAAAAAATACTTTTCCCGGTATGACGATACTATTAACCCTCGACGGTCGACGACGCATTTTATTTGGCCAACGAAACGTTCGTACTCGTGTTGTTTTCACCGTAATTATTTCGTAAATATAATATAATTATTACAAAGCGTGGTGAATGTTGTAGATTTAAAATGATTTTGAACTAAAAATGTTTAAATCGTTGATTGAATAATTAACTAGATGACTATTATTAGATAGCCTATTTATTTATTTAGATAAGATAAAAAGATACTTAAATAATTTGTATCAAGATAATGTAAAACATTGGTTTTATGAAAAGTACGAAACGCTATATTTAATCCTGTCCGTCATGATTAAACGTTTTAATTACTTAAGTTTATACGCGCATGTATTTGAAAAGATCAACAAACAATAGTGAGTATTAAGGTATTCCATAGTGCAAATATGTTTTGAATTAGGTAAGATAATTGTGCACACATTGGTACGAGGACAATTTTGCCGCACTTGCTGTTGATCTCCAAGTATAATCTATTTAAACTTATTTGAGAATTGAGAACAGTAAAATCATTACTTGTGTCCACAAGCCAAAAATTATTCACATTTTAGGATCATATTTATTTATTTTTTCAAATAAAATGTATATTAAACAGGGAAACGAATTTATATAAACTCCATATCTTTGCTAACAAATCAATGTTTTTAATATTTGTATTTCATATATTATCTTTTGTACACTAAGTAATGTCAACTTACATAACTTACATATATCAAAATATAATAATATAATACATACTTCTATAACTATGAAAACAATGTGTATATTTTTTTTTAAATTTTTAGTAAATAATTTTAATAAAATAACATATTTATATTTCTATAATGAAACGAGTCGACCTAAGATAATAACTTTCACTTTAAAACTACTCGTAGATTTAAATTAAAACAAATTTATAAATAATTAGAAATTATCATAAAACAATAATACACATTTAACATAAAGTTATAAATTTTGGGAGTATTGAATTATTTAAGTGATAGCACTTTACAAACTCTATAATAATATTTCTATTCTTTATAAAATCGTGGAAGTGATTATAATAAAATTCGAGACCTGATTTTAATAAACGTTGAAAATCAAAAAAAAACATTTTTATCATTATAATATATTTTGTTTAAAACAACTTTATAGGAACATAATAATATAAAATAATTTTCTCGTCATTAAATTCCTGATTTAATACAGACCGACTAAATTCGTAGGTGATATGCTTATCGGAGCGCATGGTTGATGAAGTTACTATACTGTGCACTAGTTATTATTAAAATTTTGTTACGCAACTATATTTTTTTGAAAAAAGATTAAAATAGAATATAAATCCAAAATTGTATGTAGGATTTTGCTGGAATACATACCTGACTTCAAAAAATGCCTGAGAATAACAGGATAAAATCTAAAACGAGGAATAACGTCTGTTAAAAAAATGCAATTTAACATGTTTAATTTAATACGTTTGCGTTAATTATCTATATACTACTGTTGTACCACTGTATGAGAAAGAAGTTGCCACCGGCATTGCATAAAAATGGAGAGGTCTAATCCTCTCATGGTAATTTTATGTTTATAGGGCATTATAAATATCTAACTAAAAATGCCTTAGGTTAGGTTTTTCCACAGATATGAAGCTCTCTCTCCTAATCATCAATTCAAAATTTATGTATACGATATGGTAGAATTTGAATAAAGTCAAAGTCTCTCTAAACAAATAAACAAAACACCGATAATAGTATCGGGAATCCGGAAATTCATGACCTTGTCACGACTTATCGAATAGTTTCCCTCTCAATATTATACGATACTGGAAAACTATTCAACAAATATATATATATATATTTATGAAATAAGAACCTGACCTGGTAAAAATAATAAAATAAAGTGTTTAAATGGTGAATAATATAAAATTTTCAATGTGACTGAGAATCCCAGTACAATGTGTCTAGCCAGTTTGGGAATGCCTCCTACGAAATGTCCAAGAATTTTAAGATAATATATTTACACAGTATCCTCTTGAAGCAATCACGTGGATATTATGATTTAATTTAGAGCTTTATTGTATACAATATTTGTCTAACGACTTTGTGATGACATCATATTATTTTTATTTATTAACTAGGTATTCACTATATTGCAATATTTATTATATTTTTGACAAATGTACATAGTTTTATCATTATATATATATAATATTATATTACTGTTACTGTTACGTTATTCATTATTTTCTATAAGCTATGTTACTCAAACTCTTTACTAAATCATTTGTCAAAAGATAAATTGAAAATTATTGGTAAACTCATCAGTATTACACTTAGAAAGATTTTTTTGCTTTAAAAAAAAAAAATGATCCAAAATCCTTTTTTCTACTAGATACAATTAATAAATTATATGAAATACAATTAATGTAAAAAAAAAATTTTATTTAATCATGGAAAATGATTAAAACTTAAATTTTTTATAAATTAACTTAATGCCTACTAACAAAAATAAAATCATTAGCTTAGCTCATAATTAAATAATTTATTTAGCTTTGACAATTTATTTTCTGTAAGCTATTATTTAAATAGTATTTAAAATAAATCATAAACATAATAATTCAGTATCGAATTATTGAACGATTTACTAGGTTCATTAACTTGAATTATAGAAAAAGTATTGTTGTTCGTATATTGTTACGTAATTGATGTCTAATTAATACGATTTTACAGTTTACTCCGTTGTTAACAGAATATCGGTGCTTTAATTTCTTATCACTATTTTTTTTGAATGCAATACGTATTATACTTTTATATAAATAACAATATTAATTAGTAAGATATTGTTCTCATTTTCTATTAATGCAGGTATCTAGTACCTAGATTCACGTGATATATAATATAAAAGACATACCATTTTGAAATTGATTTTAAAACAAAGTCCACTTTGGCTTAATGTTCTTACGTTTTACCTAATGACACAGGAGCTACTATTATTATATTTTCATTCTAGTTGGCTCGACGTTTGTTACTAAATACACCTTTGTGTCGTTTTCCTCCCCCCACCCCCTACAAACATGTATGTTCAAATGTCACAAACATAGGATTCTCGGACGGTTAAACTTAATAATGCAGATAACGAAGCCACTATACAATAGACCCAGGATTTTTCTACTCGTTTCTCGCCCCCACGGCACCCACCCACAACGTTTGAAGAACGTTGAAAACGTTACAGTGTGCAAGATTGGCTGTCTCGAGGCTGTTTGCGGGACAAATGCTATGAAATGATTACAGAACGCAGGGATGCATGATTGGAGATCAAAGACGCTAGTCTCGAGATTATTTCGGCCAGGTAACGAGTGGCGTGGAAAGTACGCCGCAAAATTACCTTCCTTTTATGGGAAATTGTGCAAAATATATGTACGTTCTCTATTTTCGTGTTTTATCCACTAACTATTATACACTGAATAATCATACTAACTAGACAAAGGAATCGTCTACTTATTTAACATCATAGAGATGCGAGCCAGTAACGTTATGGTTTAATTATTATACAGTAATTTAATAAAATATATGATTTAAAGCAAAGCCGATATCTTACAAAAATACTATAATAACGGTAATATATCAGAATATAATAAAATTTATAAATTTTTTTGTATTTTTTTAAATATTAATTGATCAATAGTTACAAATGTTACTTTAGCCTGTTGTATTTATTATCTATACAAAGGTATAATATCATAATGAATTTACATATATTAACATTCATTTTTTATTTATTTAATATATATATTAAATTACATTTTTTTAACTTCTTTGTAACGAATCTGTTGGTTTTAAAAACGGTATTATTTTATTTTTATTCCTCACCTTTTGTCAAAACAGATTTCGTTTAGTTAATCGATTTTTCTTTTATCTTTTCTTTGTGTTACATGTTATCATAATATATAGAATAATTTAATTTAAATATTCAAAAATTTGTATTAGCAATTATTATAATAAGTTAACTTATTATAATATATTAGCTGACTTAAAAGTTTACCATAAAATACTGCATACTATCGTTATAGTGTTTATATAATAAAATAATTCTAGTACCTATAATATTGTAAATATTATATTAATAAAATGAATAGTAAAAAAAAAAATCTATTTAATGGTTTATTTAATCTATATTATATTACCTATATAAAATGTACTTCATTTATAACTACATTTGATTCATTAATATTCTGTAACATTTTTTATAAGCAATAATAAACTGAAAAACTATACTTTAAACTCGTTGATATCTTGAAGATAAAATGAACTTTTTTAATAAAATTGTAACTATTACAATTTTCTAAAATAAATGATTTAATTATTTTATGTGTTAAAAATAATTGTTTATTGATTCATCAGTTTTATTGGTTTAAATGATGAAATTTCACTCGACGTTGATGCCTATATTATTATAATGAAGAAAATGTCTAGAATTCTTCCATCTGAAATACAATCAACCGTCATCCTGTTAGAATTTTCATATTATTTAATATTTAAAGAAAAACAAATGTGATATTGTCTCAGTTTATGCACGCACTTTCAATCTTAAATTTCATTTTTAATTGAATTTAATATACCAACTAAACTTTTACAGGTCAATTAACATATTAATTTGTACGCATTGTTTCAAAAACGTATATTTTAACTTATCAGTGTGTTTACGAAACTTTGAACATGTAACTAACTGTTGTTTTATTGAGAACTCAAAACAATATGCACAAAACTTAAAAGATTTAAGAAAATTGATTTTTCCGTTGTATTTATACCTTAAAGGGTTATTACTACTAAATGTGTTTCATTAAATTACATCAGATTCGAGTATAAAATTTAACCTTAATCACGGCTATTCATGAACAAAAAATTGCTTACGTGAACAATATTATTTTTGCTACCGAATAGATCAAGTTGTTAAACATTTAATAAGTTCTAAATGAACTTCATATCCATTTCTCTTTTGACATACCTATATATGTCAATTCAGATTTTGGTGATAAAATAAATACTATTTTTATAGTTAAGATATTTTTCTTCTTGGTTGTATAAATATTTTGTATTGTTATGTTATAATAATAATCGTACAATAAATAAAGAGAAAATACCTATGATAAAATAGTTATCAAGATATTGATTATTAATTATAATGATCAATCTACAATCGATTAAAATTATTCTAAAATTATTTGAGTCATATAAGCTTGATTGAGAATATAACATGAATTTTTTTTGTTAATAATATATATATATACATATATATTTGATAAATGAGTTTATAATCAACAGGAAAATATACGTAAAGAAATTGTGTTATTGGTAGTATTATATGTAATATATACTTAAATATTAATCATATTTATAGTGATTTCTAGACAGTATTACTATAAAAATTTCGATCGGTTTTAATAAAGTAAAATTGTGCAATATGTTATGGTTTGTCATCTAGTTAAATATATATAATATTAAAACGTCGATTGATATAAACTGTGTAAATACAAGTATAGAAAACAAATAATATACATTGTATACAGTATTCCATGTAGACAGGTTGGTAATCCACGTATATTTCTATCGATATATACATTTTAGGTCGTATAAATATTTAGTATTTAATGGTAAACGTGTAATTTCGTAAAATTTGGAATGAACTGTCAGTTTTGGCAGTAAAATAATTATAATACATCGAACTAACAGAGCGTTATCTTAAATTTAATATTCAGATGGTTTGAGGTTCAATCGTAAGTGGGTATAGCTTATTAATATTTTTAACTTTACATTATAAAATAATATTTTTTTCAAACTAATAAATAATTTAAAATGTAAATGTACATCATTATACGATATTTTTTTAAATTATTTTAATTATTATTCAGAAGAAACAAAATGAAAATATTTGTTTTAGCAGTCATATTTAATTATTACATGTTCATAGCTCAAATTATGCTCTATTTTGCTGTGATTTTGGCATGTGAATAAATTACCAACAGTACTTTTTGTTGTCAAAAAATAAATTAACTAATTACTCAAAAATTATTATTATACGGTAGGTTAGTTATTTTTATGATGACAAATTTCCTAAGTGTGTATAGTTATAATTACCTAGTTATTTAAAAATCTTTTAATTTTCACTATATTAAATAATATTTTGTACCAAAATAATGGTCGTTTTAAACGTAAAGAATGCATTTTTAAGCTGCTTCGATTAAGCACTATGTTAACCTGACCTAACTATGATTTTAAGTGCCTCATCACAGCCACACACCATATGAGTAGATTTTTTTTTATGCCTTGAAAGTCTACACTCGACCTTTGCCGCCAACACATTGAATATTTAGACGTTGTTTTACTCGTATAAAATACAGCATGTAACAAAACAGTCAAT